AAGGGTTTTTTTAAATACGGGAACTTTGCTTTGGGAAAGTGTAGCAAATTTAACATTTTAAAGGGAAATTCAAAAAAACCCGGGCGGGCCCGGCCTTGAGTCCGGGGTTTGGGAAGTACAGTCCCCCTGCACCTGAAGGGGGGGTTTTAAATGTTCATTTTAAAAAACTGTATTTTAAAGCCCCCTTCTGGCAAGACATGATGGAGTGAATGATGGGGGAAATTTTTTCTTTTTGGGGCCCCACCCCTGCCTTGGGGGAATCGGCCGTGTGTGTAATAAAAAAAAAATAATAAATAATAAAAAATTTTAAAAATATATATATATATATATATATATATATATATATATAAAAATATATATATATATTATAAATATTATATATATTTTATATATAAAATATAAAAATTATTTTATTTTTGGCAGTTTGGGGGGATTTTGTTGTGTATCTTTTTATGTGTATGCTTCTAGACTGTTGTATTCTGAGCCTCTGCAAAAACAGTGATAATGTGCGAGTGGGGTTTGGAAAAGTGTTGAATGATGATGAAAGTTTTTTCTTTTTGGGGATTTTTTTTTCTTTTTTTTGGGGTTTCCCCTCCTCGGTGGGAACGGCCCGACTTGTTGAAAAAAAAAAAAAAAAAAAATTATATATATATATTATATATATTTAAAATTATTATATATAAAAATTTTATATTTATATAAATTTTGGGAGATGAATGGTTCGGGAAAACTGCCCATTGTTTAAATTAGACACATGTGCAACTCTTGGGTTCTTATTTTATTACTTTAAAATTAATCATCAGGATTTAAGAGGGGCCCAAAGCAGATCCTTTCTTTGGGTATCGGCAGGGGGGCCTCCGTGTTTTTATTTTGGGGAGAAGAGGCACCCCACTGGGGGGTACCCAATACTCTGCTCCTATACCGGTTCTTACTGCGCATAAAGGGTTTGGGTTTAATTATGGTAAATTCACACAGGGGTTACATGAAAAGGGGCCAGGTCTTTGTTCATTTTTTCCCCTTTATTGCCCCCCAAGGTTTTTTGGGATGTAGGGGAAATTACACACACATGCACAGGGCCCCAGACTCAGGTCTTTGTCCACCTTTCCTCCTTCCCCTCCCATCTACCTCTTTCCCAACTTTTTTCCTCTCAAATTTCTTCAGTGATAATGGCATATTAATAGCACACGGGTCACAAACATTAAATTTAAATTTGGGGGCCCTAAAGTATTCAAGCATTTGAAAAGTGATATTTAATTTGTTTGTATATAAAGATTTTCTGTGATTGAAGTGAGCATGGGTAAAGAAGATATTAGTTAAGTCCATAGCTCATGTTATTGTGGTAGCAGTATTTTAATTTTTTTTTTTTTTTTTTTTTTTTTTTTTTTCAACAAGTCGGCCGTCTCCCACCGAGGCAGGGTGACCCAAAAAAGAAAGAAAATCCCCAAAAAGAAAATACTTTCATCATCATTCAACACTTTCACCACACTCGCACATTATCACTGTTTTTGCAGAGGTGCTCAGAATACAACAGTCTAGAAGCATAAACATATAAAGATACACAACATATCCCTCCAAACTGCCAATATCCCAAACCCCTCCTTTAAAGTGCAGGCATTGTACTTCCCATTTCCAGGACTCAAGTCCGACTATATGAAAATAACCGGTTTCCCTGAATCCCTTCACTAAATATTACCCTGCTCACACTCCAACAGATTTAATAGCCAACATAAATCATAAATATACCAGTACATGTACAGTGGACCCCCGGTTAACGATATTTTTTCACTCCAGAAGTATGTTCAGGTGCCAGTACTGACCGAATTTGTTCCCATAAGAAATATTGTGAAGTAGATTAGTCCATTTCAGACCCCCAAACATACATGTACAAACGCACTTACATAAATACACTTACATAATTGGTCGCATTCGGAGGTAATCGTTATGCAGGGGTCCACTGTATTAGGAAACAAATGAGAGAACGTGTTGAGTTCTTGAAATGTTAACCCACATTTCTTGGTTTATTGTTTCATAAAAGTAGAAAGAAAAAAGAATCCACAACTGGTCTTCATTCTGTAGTCCAAGAAATCTAATTCTAAAGCTTTCATACAGTATACCGAAAAACAAATGCACCTGATGAAAAAATATAATGCATAATAGTTGAGGAAGAATTAAAAAATCATAATTACCAAAAATGTGAAAAATATTATCTAAGTTTGTATCAGTGAGAAGTTCTAGGTCATAATCCATTGTATATCTTGATTCTTGTACTATATTTTGGTTTCTTCCTGGTACACTGTAGCTACTCTTGGAAGCTCAAGTTGCTTCTTTACCATGAAACTTACAACATCAACTTTCTTCCGGATTATATGCAACATGGTACTCTTGTCATATCTTCATAATTTCCAAGAGTTCCCATTAAACTCTCCCTTCAAATTAAGGATTATAAAAAGTCCTGACCACTTGAGAAACTTAATCATTGTGCCACTTACTGAAATAATTAATAACAGCACATTTATTGGTTAAAGTGGAAAAATAATAACTAGACAATTATGGGTTAAAGCAAACAAACTCTTCTCTGATATTTACCTTATAATACAAAATTACACTTCAAGGACAATTATCGTATAAGCTCCTATTAAGGGGTACAACTCAGAGAAATTAATATTAATACATGTACTAAGAAAGATTGAATTTACAACTACATACATATATTATTACAGAATTATAGGTAGTAGGTTGGTAGACAGCAACCGCCCAGGGAGGTACTACTGTCCTGCCAAGTGAGTGTAAAACGAAAGTCTGTAATTGTTTTACATGATGGTAGGATTACTGGTGTCCTTTTTTGTCTCTTAAACATGCAAGATTTCAGGTACGTCTTGCTACTTCTACTTACACTTAGGTCACGCTACACATACATGTACAAGCATATATATACACACCCCTCTGGGTTTTCTGCTATTTTCTTTCTGGTTCTTGTTCTTGTGTATTTCCTCTTATCTCCATGGGGAAGCGGAACAGAATTCTTCCTCCGTAAGCTATGCGTGTTGTAAGAGATGACTTAAATGCCGGGGGCAAGGGGCTAGTAACCCCTTCTCTTATATAAATTACTAAATTTAAAAAGAGAAACTTTTTTTTTTTTTTTTGGGCCACCCTGCCTTGGTGGGATATGGCTGGTTTGTTGAAAAAAAAAATTATTACGGAATAATATAGTTGAGCCTTCATTAATAGTTCACACCTCCAGCTCCTACCAGAGAGAGAGAGAGAGAGAGAACAAGAGAGAGAGAGAGAGAGAGAACAAGAGAGAGAGAGAGAGAGAGAGAGAGAGAGAGAGACAAGAGAGAGAGAGAGAGAGAGAGAACAAGAGAGAGAGAGAGAGAACAAGAGAGAGAGAGAGAGAGAGAGAGAGAGAACAAGACAGAGAGAGAGAGAGGAGAGAGAGAGAGAGAGAGAGAGAACAAGAGAGAGAGAGAGAAAGAGAGACAGAGAGAGAGAGAGAAAACAAGAGAGAGAGAGAACAAGAGAGAGAGAGAGAGAGAGAGAACAAGAGAGAGAGAGAGAGAGACAGAGAGAGAGAGAGAGAAGAGAGAGAGAGAACAAGAGAGAGAGAGAGAGAAGAGAACAAGAGAGGAGAGAGAGAGAGAGACAAGAGAAGGAGAGAGAGAGAGAGAGAGAACAAGAGAGAGAGAAAGAGAGCCAGAGAGAGAGTGAGAGCCAGAGAGAGAGCAAGAGAGCCAGAGAGAGAGCAGAGAGCCAGAGAGAGAGAGAGAGAGAGCAAGAAGAGAGAGAGAGAGAGAACGAGAGAGAGAGAGAGCAGAGAGAGAGCAGAGAGCAGAGAGAGAGCCAGAGAGAGAGCAGGAGCCAGAGAGAGAGCAAGAGAGCAGAAAAGAGCAGAGAGGAGAGCTGGAGAGAGAGAGAGAGAGCAGAGAGAGAGGAGAAAGAGCAAGAGAGAGAGGAGCAGAGAGAGGGGGGGGGGGCAGGCAGGCAGACAGGCTCCAGCTTCAACAGAGGCTCGTCACCAAGTTCTTCTTGGCTCCTCACTCCTCCGTCTTATAAATCAAGCTTACTCTTTTGCTAGTTCAGGTCTTCCCATGGGAACTCTACTATGTGCCAACTCAAAGAGCTGACATTCCCAAACCAAGGCTGAGGTATCAAAGATTAGTACTTAGGCTCCTGTCTTCACAAATCCAAACTGGAGACCCAGTCTCAAGATATAACATCATTCTATAGGTATGCAGGTATGTAAAAGTTTGTGTATAATATAAAATTGCATCTGAGTTGTCAAAAAATCCATCTCTGTATCAGCAGCAACTATCAGTGCTTCTCCCAGACATCTATAAACAAAATGGGTGTAATTTACCTACATACAGTACATAGTACCAAAAACTTTGCAGTGTCCACACGAGCTGAACACATGAGGATATAAAGTGGACAAAGGCTGACCAAGTTGGTAGCGTACTTCATAAAAAAAGTTTTTCCTTAAGCTGAATAATTAATTCTTAAGCCGTAACAAATATTTGTAAAAATTTAAAAATGAAAAATCTCTTAGCTTATACGTTAGTCAAAATACAGGTAAAAAGAATACGTGTATACTTTGGCCACAGTGAGATAGGTATACATATTACAATAGATACTGAATGAGTGATATTTTTATTTTATTAACATATCAACTATCTCTTGGGAGGCAGTTTGTATGTGCACAGTGTGTATGGAGTTGAAAATCTATTAAATACTGTATACTTTAATCAAAATTGGAATAGTGCAGTCTCTTCAGATACCTTGTAGTATATATTTCATAAGTAAAATAATTTTCCAAAGCTGCTTGCAGTGTAAATTCAGGATGTTTCTTGATGTGCAGATTTGTGTGTTTATACTGTCATGATATACTGTATTTAATTCTTTGGCAGAGATATGAATCATTTGACGTATAATAATGATAATAATAATTGAAAATTGACACTTATTGCTGTGACTTTTTACTGATACAATGTTTCACCCACAAGTGAGCTTCACAAAAGCTGCTCATTTCTTGGTGAAATGTTGTACCAATAAAGATTTCCCTGCATTAAGTGTCTATTTACCAGTTTTCAGCATTATGTCTATATTAAACATAAAAAATAATAATGATTATCTCCAACAGGGTGGTGTTAGCAGTGGTAGTGTTAGGGGTGGCATTGTGTTCATGGCCAGAGAAGTAGCAGGTACTTTGCTACGCTGGTGTTATATCAGCCAGGAGGAGAGGGAAACAGTACTTGATCGCTGCTTAGCCCTCCTTCACCATACACTTGAAGGATCTAATATGGGTAAGCATTTCCCTTGACTACAGTCATGGAGGTGCAATGAGCAGTGCCTACATTTTGAAGGGAGGGGCAGGCATGTATGTCAGTGGTAGAATATACCAACAAGCAAGTGAATAAGACAGTATGTGGTTTATGGCAATTTATTGAGAGAACATTCGTCCACCAGGGACTTTATCAATTGATAAAAGTCCCTAGTGGATGAATCGTCTGTTCAATAAAATGCTATGAAAGGTAGATTGTGTCTAATTCACAGGTGGGAATGTTACACTTTGGAAAGTTATCTGAATTGTGATGATGTCAACACATTTCTGGCAAGGCAGTGATTGAATGAATGAAGGTGAATTGAATGGGTTTCCTTTTTTGGGGTCTCTTCGGATCCATTTAGGATGTTGTAATGTTTTATGAATGTTTACTTCAATTTGAAAAACAGTATGAATGCTATGTAAATATTTACTATGTAGTTGGTGCTAAAAAGGCACTGTCAGAAAAGAAACCTTTTATTAATATGATGTTTCACCCACTGTGAGCTTCATCAAGTACAGTACTGTACTTGATAAAGCTAAATTTTTTTTTTTTTTACTAGAATTTGTCAGCTTATAGCCATTTGTTCACCTACTGTATAGTTGTATAATTTGTGCAAAATATTTTTTCATCCAGATATGTGTGTGTCAGACATTATATAGTACAGTGGTCCCTCGTTATTCATAATTAATCCGTTCCTGGAGCCGTTACTATAAACGAAATTTACGATTTACGAATCAGTTTTCCCCATAAGAAATAATGTAAATACAATTAATCCGTTCCTGACACCCAGAAGTATTAAAACAAAAATTTTTTTAACATGAAATATGCATGTAGTACATAAACAATACAATGGGAAATGATGAATGAAACATTAACAGCATAACACTTACCTTTATTGGAGATTCTTCTTAGTGTATGGGAGACTGGAGGAGGAGAGAGAGTGGATTGTTTATAGTTTGGAAGGGGAATCCCCTTCCATCAACACCTCAGGTACCATTTGCTTTTCTGGGGGTTGCTTCTCTTCTCTGTTTCTTAATGCCACTAGGACCACCTTGAGAGTCACTGGAGTCCTGTCTCACAAAATAACTGTGGAGAGAGCTCTGTTTCTGGCATCTCTTTAACACTTCCCTAAAATGGCCCAAGACTTTGTCACTGTACATGTTGCCAACCTGGCTTGCAACAACAGTGTTAGGGTGATGTTTCTCCATAAAGCTTTCCATCTTACCCCACATAGTAAAAATCTCTTTAATTTCTGAAGAAGGCACCTTCTTCCATCTCTCTTCCTCCTCCTCTGCAGCAAGATTCTGAGCTGCGATGTGTTGCTCTTCCTGCTGAAGCTCTTGCAGCTCCTCAGTGGTGAGTTCTTCATTGTGGTCTTCCACCAATTCTTCCACATCCTCCAAACTCACATCCAACCCCATGGAACTCCCCAGTGCCACAATTGATTTTACAACAGACATAGGCTCATTAGGGTCAGACCCAAATTCTTCAAAATCCCTCTTGTCGACACAATCTGGCCACAATTTTCTCCAGGCAGAGTTCAAAGTCCTGGTTGTCACTCCCTTCCAAGCCATACCTATAAGGGTTATGCAGTGGAGGATGCTGAAGTGTTCTCTCCAAAATTCCCTTAGGGTCAAGTGAGTGTCTGTGGTCACAGTCAAGCACCTGTGAAACATTGCTTTTGTGTAGAGTTTTTTAACCCTTTGAGGGTTTTGGTCGTACTAGTACGTCTTACGCGTAGGGGTTTTTGACGTACTAGTACGCATAAATTCTAGCGGCCTCAAATCTAGTGGGAGAAAGCTGGTAGGCCTTCATATGAAAGAATGGGTCTATGTGGTCAGTGTGCACAGTCTAAAAAAAATCCTGCAGCACACAGTGCGTAATGAGAAAAAAAAAACTTTGACCATTTTTTTGGAATAAATCAGCGACTTTGCAGTGTATTTTCGTATGGTATTTATTGTTGTATTCTAGTTTTCTTGGTCTCATTTTATAGAATGGAAGACATATTACAGAAATTGAGATGATTTTGACTGGTTTTACAATGAAAGGTGCCTTGAAATTGAGCTCAAAGTAGCAGAAATGTTCGATTTTTACCAAACTTCAAAAGTAAACAAATCATGCCAAGCGTGCAATACACGTCAACTGGTGAGTCTAATATTCTTTCACAAGTGCACCAATAATATTTAAACCATTTTTTACACTAATGCAGTAGTCTGCATAACAGTAAATCTTATATTTTTTGTGAGAATAAAAATTCAAAGTGGAAAGCAAAAGAATATAAGAGGGGCCTTGAGACGTGACTAATGACTAGAGGAAATGTCATTTTAGTGCCAGGAATGTCTTTCTTGTTTATTCTGGACCCTATTCGGAAATTGGCATCTTTTGAAATTTGTGTGAAATTGGCAAAATTGCTAAATTCTGACCACTGTACTGGATAGTTGAATTTCATAAATGGGTGGTTTCTTGCACCCATTCGATAGAAAAAATGGAGTTCTAGCGATATATTCATGTTTTTTGTCGACTAGTACAGTGAAATTGGCCGAAAATGGGGCTCAAAGTGGGCAAAATCGTCGATGCGTAAACATCGCCGAGACCGCTAACTTTGCGAGAGGATAATTCCGTAAGTTTTCTATCAAATTCCAAACTTTTGGTGTCTTTATGATCGGGAAAAGATTCTCTATCTTTTCATAAGAGAAAATAATTTTTTTTTTTTTTTAAATTTGGCCGACCCTGAGAACAAGTTTCGGAGAGGGCCTGTCGACCCTCAAAGGGTTAAAGTTTGCAATAACCTGCTGGTCCATGGGTTGGAGGAAAGAAGTGGTATTCGGGGGCAAGAACTTTACTGTGATGAACCCAAACTCCTCGAAAATTAGGTCATCCAAGTTTGGAGGATGAGCAGGTGCATTGTCCATTACTAGCAGGCACTTGAGATCCAATTTCTTTTCCAGGAGATACTCCTTCACACTAGGGCCAAACACTTCATTGAACCACTCGATGAAAATTTCCCTCGTGACCCATGCCTTACTATTAGTTTTCCAAAACACACACAATTTACTCTTCATAACATTGTTTTTCCTGAACACTCTGGGATTTTCAGAATGGTACACTAGTAATGGCTTCACTTTGAAATCCCCACTAGCATTAGCACAGAACATTAGCGTCAGCCTGTCTTTCATAGGCTTGTGTCCTGGCATTGCCTTTTCCTCTTGTGTAATGAAGGTCCTCTTTGGCATTTTCTTCCAAAAGAGGCCTGTTTTGTCACAATTGAACACTTATTCAGGTTTCAGTCCTTCAGCCTCTATGTACTCCTGGAATTCATGCACATATTTTTCAGCCAAACTGCCAATATTGGCAGTTTGGAGGGATATGTTGTGTATCTTTATACGTATATGCTTCTAAGCTGTTGTATTCTGAGCACCTCTGCAAAAGCAGTGATAATGTGTGAGTGTGGTGAAAGTGTTGAATGAGGATGAAAGTATTTTCTTTTTGGGGATTTTCTTTCTTTTTTTGGGTCACCCTGCCTCGGTGGGAGACGACCAACTTGTTGAAAAAAAAAAAAAAAAAAAATTCAGCTGCCTTGTGGTCCGAACTGGCAGCCTCACCATGCCTTACCACACTGTGTATGCCAGTACGGTTCTTAAATCTCTCAAACCAGCCTTTGCTGGCCTTAAATTCACTCACTTCACCACTATTTGCAGGCAATTTCTTTACCAAATCTTCATGCAACTGCCTAGCCTTTTCACAAATAAACGAAGTCATAAGAGTATCTCCTGCTAATTGTTTCTCATTTATCCACACCAATTATAACTTCTCAACCTCTTCCAGTACTGGTGAACTCATTTTTGTCAGCATAGTTACTCCCTTTGCAACAACAGCATCCTTTATTTCATTTTTCTTGGCCACTATGGAACATAAGGTTGTGTAGGGTTTCTTATACATCCTGGACAGTTCGGCCACACTTGTATCACTTCCGTATTGTTCAATGATGGTTTTCTTAAATTCAATCGTATTTCTCACCTTCTTTACCACAGGCTTGGCACTAGGAGCTTTCTTTGGAGCCATGGTAGCTTATTTAGTACTTGCAAGCACTAAAATAAATGGAATACAGTGGACCCCCGGTTAACGAACTTTTTTCATTCTAGTAGTATGTTCAGGTGCCAGTGCTGACCGAATTTTTTCCCATAAGGAATATTGTGAAGTAGATTAGTCCATTTCAGACCCCCAAACATACACGTACAAACGCACTTACATAAATACACTTACATAATTGGTCGCATTTGGAGGTGATCGTTAAGCGGGGGCCCACTGTATTATGAAATATTTCGCTGGAGCACGTGAGGGGACCTTCGCTCACTGGTAAACAATGCCAGACTGGCTGCCGCCCTGGCTCACGCTGTGGGTACGCGTCCCGGACGAACTACGACTCGCGAGTCAACCTATGAAAAGCGAGTCCATGTTTATACGAAAATACCTCTATGATTGGCGAATTTTACGATTGCCGGGAACTACGAAAAGCGGGGGACCACTGTATTTTATTAACTGCATGAGAAAATTTGCAATTTATATTTAAAGTATAGTAAATTGCTTTACAGATTCTTGTGTTCGTGATCTAGTTGTAAGGCAGCTTGTCGACAGAAGCAGTGCTGGTCAGACGCTGCTGTCAGTTGTTGTGAGTGGAGCTAGCCTAGAGTTAGCCTTGAACCACCCAACACATTCTCCCATCTCAACCCATGCACACAGATTAACTCGCACAGCTCAGATGGCTCTCTCCATTCTCCACAGGTAATATTTCTTATCTTTGTATAGCATGAGTAAAGAGTTCATTGTTTATTAGCAAGCATAATATTTGTTTTACCTATGCATTCTTCAGCTTGCACAAGGCAGGCACATTTAAGTCCTCATTATCTAAAGAATAATTCTTTGAGCTATCTTATATACCGAGAAATTCACTATGAATGTAAATAATTCTAAGAAGTGAACTGTATTCAATTCCATGCCCCAGCAGTCTTGAGATTACCAGCTTGTGTTACCATGCTACACTGTAGCATAGTTGGTATCATGATGAAGTGCTTTTCCCAGGGTTTGTTGAGCCACAGATTCAAAGTAATTTCACTTCTTAAGTTACATTTCCTTTGCCTTTTTTTTTTTTTTTTTTTGTGTATGTGTAGTCTGGGTACTTTATTTTAGTATTTTTTTTTTTTTTTTGTATTTATGACTTGGAGGGTGTATAAATCTGTGGCAGAGGGAAGGTGAGGCAGAGGTTGCCTTAGGAATGGTTGGAGAGATGGGGTAAAAAAAGGTTTTGTGTGCAGAGGCTTGGACATCCAGCAGGTGTGTATGAGTATGTTGGATAGAAGTGAGTGGAGGCAAATGGGTTTGGGACTTGATGAGCTGTTGGAGTGTGAGCAAGGCAATACATTTCTGAAGGAATTCAGGGAAACTTGTTAGCCAGACTTGAGTCTACGAGGCGGGATATACAGTGCCTGCATTCTGAAAGATGGGTGGGGATATTTGCAGTTTGCAGGGGCATCTGAAGTGTATTATGTGCATGCCTCCAGCAAGACAGTGATAATATGAATGAAGGTGAAAGTGTTTCTTCTTTTTCAAATCACCCTACCTTGGTGAGAGATGGCTGGTCTGTTAAAAAAAAATGTTACATTGTACAGGTCTCCCTCAACATTCGCGTTTTCAACTTTCGCGGGCTTCACACATTCGCAAATTCCCAACCGCCAAATTCCCAGCTGCCAAATCATATTTAAGTTTACCGCCACGAGTCCTTACTACCCTCCCTCCGACCCCTGCAACTGGCAGCCAGCCCTCCCACCACTGTGCGGTGAGTGTTTTGTTTGTTCATTATTTGCTATTAAACTACAGTATAAATAATGTAAACCCATCCATGACTGCATATTAGAATGGCTATTCAGACAGGTATTGGAAGGTGACATCATGTGTTTACTCTTGAACACAGCAAAGAATCAAACATTTCTGCTACTGCTAATAATAATAATAATAATAATAATATTAATATAAGAGAAGTTGCAGAGGTTGGTGGATGAATTTGGTAGGGTATGCAAAAGAAGAAAATTAATAGTGAATACAGGAAATAGTAAGGTTATGAGGATAACAAAAAGATTGGGTGATGAAAGATTGGATATCAGATTGGAGGGAGAGAGTATGGAGGAGGTGAATGTATTCAGATATTTGGGAGTGGACGTGTCAGCAGATGGGTCTATGAAGGATGAGGTGAATCATAGAATTGATGAGGGGAAAAGGGTGAGTGGTGCACTTAGGAGTCTGTGGAGACAAAGAACTTCGTCCTTGGAGGCAAAGAGGGGAATGTATGAGAGTATAGTTTTACCAATGCTCTTATATGGGTGTGAAGCATGGGTGATGAATGTTGCAGTGAGGAGAAGGCTGGAGGCAGTGGAGATGTCATGTCTGAGGGCAATGTGTGGTGTGAATATAATGCAGAGAATTCGTAGTTTGGAAGTTAGGAGGAGGTGCGGGATTACCAAAACTGTTGTCCAGAGGGCTGAGGAAGGGTTGTTGAGGTGGTTCGGACATGTAGAGAGAATGGAGCGAAACAGAATGACTTCAAGAGTGTATCAGTCTGTAGTGGAAGGAAGGCGGGGTAGGGGTCGGCCTAGGAAAGGTTGGAAGGAGGGGGTAAAGGAGGTTTTGTGTGCGAGGGGCTTGGACTTCCAGCAGGCGTGCGTGAGCGTGTTTGATAGGAGTGAATGGAGACAAATGGTTTTTAATACTTGACGTGCTGTTGGAGTGTGAGCAAAGTAACATTTATGAAGGGATTCAGGGAAACCGGCAGGCCGGACTTGAGTCCTGGAGATGGGAAGTACAGTGCCTGCACTCTGAAGGAGGGGTGTTAATGTTACAGTTTAAAAACTGTAGTGTAAAGCACCCTTCTGGCAAGACAGTGATGGAGTGAATGATGGTGAAAGTTTTTCTTTTTCGGGCCACCCTGCCTTGGTGGGAATCGGCCAGTGTGATAATAATAAATAATAAAAATTAATATAATAATAATAATAATAATAATAATAATAAATACGATAGAATTGAAGAAGGAAATTGTACAAAAATACGAGGGCTGAAGCAGTGGTGGAGGAAGTGGTTGACGCAGCGTCAGTGTGGCTTTGTTTATGCTGGAGTGAGTATTAGTCTCCGTGCTCTTCCAAACATTTCACAATAATTCATTGTATTTGGTGCTTGTAGATTGAGTGTGACTGGAGTGGTTGAGGCAGTGGTAGAGGCAGTTATAGAGGCAGTGGGTGAGGCAGCAGTTGAGGCAGTGGTAGAGGCAGTGGGTGAGGCAGTGGTAGAGGCAGTGATAGAGGCAGTGATATTTACTAACATATATGTTATAAATAATAATAGTACATTATGAATAACATTTATTATTATTATTATTATTATTATTATTTATTGTTATTAATATTAACATGTACTATTATTATTTATAACATATATGTTAGTAAATACCACTGCCTCACCCACTGCCTCACTCACTGCCTCTACCACTGCCTCAACCACTCCAGTCACACTCAATCTACAAGCACCAAATACAATGAATTATTGTGAAATGTTTGGAAGAGCACGGAGACTAATACTCACTCCAGCATAAACAAAGCCACACTGACGCTGCGTCAACCACTTCCTCCACCACTGCTTCAGCCCTCGTATTTTTGTACAATTTCCTTCTTCAATTCTATCATATTTATTATTATTATTATTATTATTATTATTATTATTATTATTATTATTTTTATTATTATATTATTATTTTTATTATTATATTATTATTTTTATTATTATTATTATTATTTTTTATTATATATTATTATTATACATATTATTATTATTATTATTATTATTATTAGCAGTAGCACAAATGTTTGATTCTTTGCTGTGTTCAAGAGTAAACACATGATGTCACCTTCCAATACCTGTTCGAATAGCCATTCCAATATGCAGTCATAAATGGGTTGACATTATTTATACTGTAGTTTAATAGGAAATAATGAACAAACAAAACACTCACCACACAGTGGTGGGAGGGCTGGCTGCCAGTTGTGGGGGGTCGGAGCGAGGGTAGTAGGGATTTGCAGTGGTGGAGGCAGTGGTATTTAATAACATACATGTTGTTAAGGCATAACGTATGTATTTAGTACAATTTACGACGTTTTCATGTATTTTATGATTGTTCATGGTTCAACAAGTTAAGGAAGCAGTATTGTATTATATTTCCCTACAATATATTGGGGCACCAAACATTCACGGTTTTTCAACATTCGCGAGGCTCTTGATCCCCTAACCCTCGTGAATGTTTAGGGAGACCTGTATACCAAAATATACCATACAAGGCCTATAAAATTCTAACTTATGTATGTATATGAAAATGGCCTTTAATTTTGATTAGTTTGCTTGAAATGAAAAATCACTTTCACACACAGTATTTCCAATAAGCGAACTTACTTTAGGCTGGTGGGTGAAGACAGCAGCATGGGTGGCCTTAGTCAACTTCTTCGTGCTGCTCCTTCTCTCGGAGTGACCCTGGGAGGTGGTGGACACTCGCAGGGAAGTGGCAGTCCTCCACACCTGGCTTTAACTGTGGCTTTGTATGCCCATCAGCGACTTAATCCTCGACTTTCCTACTTGGCTCTGCGCACTTTAACACGATTTGCTCAGGTAAGAATTTTCTCTCATGATTTATTTTTCATTATGTTAACTAACTTTGCTTCTCCAGATGAATAATAGTCTGGATTTTTTGTGATTTATTACTACAGTACATAATAAATAAACTATTTTTTCAAATAGTATAAAAGAAAATCACAGCTGCTGCCACTAGTGTTCTTTTTGTGCAATACAGTGGACCCCCGAGTTTCGTGATTAATCCGTTCCAGAGAGCCCGCCGAAGGTCGAAATTCACGAAACTCGAAACCATTTTCCCCATAAGAAATAAAGGAAATAAAATTAATCCGTTCCAGACACCCAAAAATATTAAAATAAAATATTTTTTTTCAAATTAAATAAAGATTTACATAATGGAAACAATCAGAAATCAAGTACATGCATTTAAAATAAATAAATAATAACATTACACTTAACTTTACTGAAGACTTCTGGGTGGATGGAAGATGGGAGGAGGTGATAGGAGGAAGGTGTACACTATTGTTTGGAAGGAGAATCTCCTTCCATTAGGACTTTAGGTAGCAAGTCCTTATCTGGGGATACTTCCCTTCTTCTTTTAATGCCACTGGGAACAACTTGAGTCACTGGACCCCTGGCGCACAAAATATCTATCCAGAGAGGTCTTTTTCTGGCATTTCTTTAAGATTTCCCTGAAGTGGGACACAACACTGTCATTGTACATGTTGCAGATACGGCTTGTTTCAGCTTGGTCAGGGTGATACTTTTCAACAAAACTTTGCAACTCATTCCACATTCCACACATGTCCTTAATCACTGAAGAAGGCACCTCATCCACTCCCTCTTCCTCCTCTGAAGCAAGTTCCTCGGCTGTGGTCTGATGCTGTTCCAGTTGAAGCTCTTGCAGTTTGTCAGTGGTTAGCTCTTCCCTGTGGTCCTCCACCAACTCTTCCACATCCCCGTCACTCACTTTATTTACCAAAGGGCTTGCACTAGCTTTCCTTGGGTCCATGATGACTTATTTAGCAGTTGCAAGCACAAAAAACAATGGATTATTATGAAATGTATTGTATGAACCCGCGGGGTGATGGTCACGTGTTGGTAAACAATGGCACACTGAGCGTGAATGGCGTGGGAGACTGGCTTTGTGTGCGCAGTGATGGGCGGACGGGTACCGGACGGTCGCCGAAACACGAGTTTTTTCATGAAAATCGAGGCCAAATTTTTCCAAAAAAAACTCGCTGAAGGTTGAATTTCGTGAAAGTCGAGGCTGCCGAAACTCGGGGGTTCACTGTATTTAATCAAATTTGCCAGTTTTATCATAATTAGTTCAGAATAGGCATCGGAACTTTAAGTCCTGATCTTCATTGACTGAAAGATCTCCCTTATGACTGCAGAAGATGATTAATCTTTCCATTAAAATACTCTAACCCTCCATTGTTGTCTTGTGTCATCATATTTATCTTCCAGCCATCTTGTTATGAGATGTAGTAAAGTAAAAAGGTCACTACCTCAAGGCTTGGTCCTGGTGCCTCTACTGTTGCTCACCCTTGTAGCAGACATACATAAAAGTACAAGCCACAGCTTTGTATCATTGCATATAATACAAAAATTAGTATGAAAGTCACCTTGGTAGAGGGCACAGAAAAAGTGCAAGAGGATATAAGCAAAGTCTTCCAGTGGGTAGTAGAAAGCATGATATTCAATGGGGTCAGATTCCATTTCCTCAGATATTCAAAGAACATACCCCTCAAGGGAGGTTCCTTGATGCTGGTGAGGGGCTCTTGATCTAGGGAATTGGGTCTGTGCTCCGGTTCCCTGAATTGAGCCTGAATGCCTTCCATTCCCCCTCCCCAGATGCACTGTATAATCCTATGGGTTTTGCACTCCCCCATGATTATAATTATTTTTATTTATTAACACACTGGCTGATTCCCACCAAGGCAGGGTGGCCCGAAAAAGAAAAGCTTTCACCATCATTCACTCCATCACTGTCTTGCCAGAAGGGTGCTATACACTACAGTTTTTAAACTGCAACATTAACACCCCTCCTATAATTATATATAATAATTTAAAGAACATAAGAGGGTCACCCCACAGAACAAAAAGAAAATGTAAAAGACCTGGGTGTAATAGTGTCAGCTGACCTAAATTTTAAAGAGCACAATAAAGCAACTGATGTAAAAAGCAGGAAAATAAGAGAAATAGTGAGTGATGACACTATTCAAATTGCATGAGCTTGCTCTCTTGTCTAAAATATTGTTAATTGATGGCTCCATTCAAGGCAGGAGAGAGAATGTACTCTTAGAGAGAAGGCGAGAGATATACATGATAATATACACCTGGAAGATAATGAAGGGACTGATTCCAAATCTGGAAACTACTGTAACAATGTACTGGGGTGAGAGATATTTAAAACAGGTCACAAATAAAATATTAATTCTTCTTTCTTTCTCCTTTCAACAAACCAATCGTATCCCACTCTGGCAGTGTGGCCCAAAAAGGAAAACTATAAAGTTTCACTTTTCAAATTTAGTAATACATACAGGAGAAGGGGTTACTGGCTTTTTGCTCCCGGAATTTTAGTTGCCTCTTATGACACACATGGCTTATGGAGGAAGAATTCTGTTCCACTTCCCCATGGAGAAAACATTAATTCATATTTGCTTAATGTTTCAGAAACTGGATGTTCCTCTAGTGGCATGTTTTGGAGGTGAGGCTGATGGGATTAGAGATGCTCTTTTGCGTCGGTTGGATTCAGCAACAGAAGATGTGCGAGTAAAAGTGGCTTTGTTGCGCCTCCTAACTTCTTCTACAACACGCCAGCAGGGACTTACAAATGCCTTCCTCACCCCACCTGAAAAACTGCTGGACCCTCTTATTTCTCTTGCTACTCCATCTGTGAGTATTCATAGGTTATATATATTTTTTATGGTTATATGGTTTTATTGAATTTTCTGTTAAATTAATTTGATTCATTTTATTGTAGTACCTGTAAAGCATCTACATGTATAGTGAATAACCACTTCGACAAAACATTGAAACAAAGGTTAAAAAAAGACCTGTAATAATCTCGTTCTACCTGTCCAAATTTGTTTCTTACTTTTCATTGAATGGTCTTTATGATACTTTAACTTAGCACATATCAGTATAATTAATATGTCCCATTTTGGTTTCACAAATTCTCCACCAGGCTAGGAATGAGTCTGGACGAGAGCTTATTCTGGCAATAGTAGAACTTTTAGATGCCTTATGGAGTGAGAAATACACAACTGCCACAGTGTACCTTCAGGATAAAGAAGATTTCTGGAAGGCTCTCATTCATCCACTTACTACTGAAAGACCAGGTTAGTAAATTTTAGAAATAACGTACACACTGCTTGCACTCAGTATTTTTTTTTTAACATGCTGGCTGTCTCCCACCGAGGCAGGGTGACCCGAAAAATAAGATAGGTTCACTTGTATACTACAGTATGTTGAGTACAGTGGATCTCCGGTTTTCGTACTTAATCCGTTTCAGAAGGTCGGATTAAAACCGAAACATACGAAAACTGAATTAATATTTCCCATAAGAAATAATGTAAATACAATTAATCTGTTCCAGACACCCAATTTTTTTTTTCCATTATCACACTGGCCGATTCCCACCAAGGCAGGGTGGCCCGAAAAAGAAAAACTTTCACCATCATTCACTCCATCACTGTCTTGCCAGAAGGGTGCTTTACACTACAGTTTTTAAACTGCAACATTAACACCCCTCCTTCAGAGTGCAGGCACTGTACTTCCCATCTCCAGGACTCAAGTCCGGCCTGCCGGTTTCCCTGAGCCCCTTCATAAATGTTACTTTGCTCACACTCCAACAGCATGTCAAGTATTAAAAACCATTTGTCTCCATTCACTCCTATCAAACACGCTCACGCATGCCTGCTGGAAGTCCAAGCCCCTCGCACACAAAACCTCCTTTCCCCCTCCCTATAACCTTTCCTAGGCCGACCCCTACCCCGCCTTCCTTCCACTACAGACTGATACACTCTTGAAGTTATTCTGTTTCGCTCCATTCTCTCCACATGTCCGAACCACCTCAACAACCCTTCCTCAGCCCTCTGGACAACAGTTTTGGTAATCCCGCACCTCCTCCTAACTTCCAAACTACGAATTCTCTGCATTATATTCACACCACACATTGCTCTCAGACATGACATCTCCACTGCCTCCAGCCTTCTCCTCGCTGTAACATTCATCACCCATGCTTCACACCCATATAAGAGCGTTGGTAAAACTATACTCTCATACATTCCCCTCTTTGCCTCCAAGGACAAAGTTCTTTGTCTCCACAGACTCCTAAGTGCACCACTCACCCTTTTCCCCTCATCAATTCTATGATTCACCTCATCTTTCATAGACCCATCCACTGACATGTCCACTCCCAAATATCTGAATACATTCACCTCCATACTCTCTCCCTCCAATCTGATATCCAATCTTTCATCACCTAATCTTTTTGTTATCCTCATAACCTTACTCTTTCCTGTATTCACTTTCAATTTTCTTCTTTTGCACACCCTTACCAAATTCATCCACCAATCTCTGCAACTTCTCTTCAGAATCTCCCAAGAGCACAGTGTCATCAGCAAAGAGCAACTGTGACAACTCCCACCTTATGTGTGATTCTTTATCTTTTAACTCCACGCCTCTTGCCAAGACCCTCGCATTTACTTCTCTTACAACCCCATCTATAAATATATTAAACAACCACGGTGACATCACACATCCTTGTCTAAGGCCTACTTTTACTGGGAAATAATTTCCCTCTTTCCTACATACTCTAACTTGAGCCTCACTATCCTCGTAAAAACTCTTCACTGCTTTCAGTAACCTACCTCCTACACCATACACCTGCAACATCTGCCACATTGCCCCCCTATCCACCCTGTCATACGCCTTTTCCAAATCCATAAATGCCACAAAGACCTCTTTATCCTTATCTAAATACTGTTCACTTATATGTTTCACTGTAAACACCTGGTCCACACACCCCCTACCAAAAATATTAACAAAAAATATTTTTTAAAGAATAACTATAGTTTTTCATACAGAAAACAATGAGAAATAAATAGAAATGACTAATTTTAATGATAAATGAACAGTACATACTTTTATTGAAGACTCTTGTTGGCATATTGAAGAAGCAAGGAGGGGAGAGGGAGTTGGGGTTATTGTTTGGAAGGGGAATCCCCCTCCATAAGGACTTCAGGTATCAAAGCCCTCTCTGGGGTTATTTCTTTGTTTTTTACTAAAATTATGTTCAGAGAGCTGTTTCTGGCATCTCTTTAAGATTTGCTAATATTTAGTACGCCACTTTTGTATTTTTCTATAATCTCTTTCTTGAATTCTATCGTATTTCTCACCTTCTTTACCATAGGGCTAGCACTTGGAACTTTCTTTGGGCCCTTGGTGGCTTATTTTGCAGTCGCAATCAATAAACAAGTACAAAAATTGTGAAATGTTTTGGATGAATACTCATTCAACCAGTGACAAAGCCAGACTGATGGCATTCCCGGGTGGGCAGACACGTATGATACGTACGATTTCCAAATTGAAGTACGAAAACTGGACCAAAATTTTGCCCAAAAAAGTGTTCTCGAACCGAATTGTACGATATGCGGACCATACAAAAACCGGAGGTCCACTGTACTGCCTTCATTATAATTATTTTTTATTTCTGCCTTTTGTAATTTTTCTTTTACTTATCAGTGTATTTTTCCTATTTCTAGATTTTTCCTCTGTTCCAATTCAAAAGCACTGAATGACCATGTTGGTTAAAGTGCTTTGCAATTCCAACAACTTTCTTCCATTGTTTGTGTTGATTTGTACAATAATCTTATAACTTACGTGAAACCTAATGACAAATTTTATTTTTGTGCAGGTGAAGTAAGTGATGCAGTAGTAGGTCACGCACTAAGAGTGTTTGCTCAACAGCTGTTCTCCAGTAATGGCAAACCTTGTGGACCTCTCAAATCGGCTATGGATCAACTCTGTCAGCCTGACACTGGCACGCTTTCTCAGTGGTCAAAGGTGCGAGCCACTATTTTTACTGCAGTAAACATTTATTTCTTTACACTAGTTCAGGGGTGGGCAACCTTTTTAATTCAACCAAATCTTTGATGCAAAATCTTCTCATGTGCCGACTAAAATTTTTTTTTTTTTTTTTTTAACAAGTCAGCCGTCTCCCACTGAGGCAGGGTGACCCAAAAAGAAAGAAAATCCCCAAAAAGAAAATACTTTCATCATCATTCAACACTTTCACCTCACTCACACATAATCACTGTCTTTGCAGAGGTGCTCAGAACACAACAGTTTAGAAGCATATATGTATAAGTACAATGCCTGCACTTTAAAGGAGGGGTTTGAGATATTGGCAGTTTGGAGGGATATGTTGTGTATCTTTATACGTATATGCTTCTAAACTGTTGTATTCTGAGCATCTCTGCAAAAACATTGATAATGTGTGAGTGTTGTGAAAGTGTTGAATGATGATGAAAGTATTTTCTTTTTGGGGATTTTCTTTCTTTTTTGGGTCACCCTGCCTCGGTGGGAGACTGCCGACTTGTTGAAAAAAAAAAATGTATAAAGATACACAACATATTATTTGGTGTCTTTTAAGTATTGTGACAAAATTTTCAGATAATCAAAAATCACAGTGTATTGGTATAATCAGAGAATATTGTAAGAATGATTTTGTAAACCATGATATTGAATGAATGGAAAATATTGTGACGGAATTTTTACTTAAAGGTCATTCTTCCCTGTTGATAGTGTGGATAATTTTTAACGGCCTTGAAATGTATTTCTAGCTGTGATATACATCCACACAGAAAATGCATAATACTTTATTCTTCTTCTTTCAACACACCGGCCGTATCCCACCAAGGCAGGGTGGCCCAAAAAGAAAAACAAAAGTTTCTCTTTTAAATTTAGTAATTTATATGGGAGAAGGGGTTACTAGCCCCTTGCTCCCGGATAATACTTCATTATCTTTTTTAATTCTGCCAAATTTTTCAGTCCAGTATTCTTTAAATTCTCTAATCTTCTTTTAACAAACCGGCCGTATCCCACCAAGGCAGGGTGGCCCAAAAAGAAAAACAAAAGTTTCTCTTTTTAATTTAGTAATTTATACAGAAGGGGTTACTAGCCCCTTGCTCGTGGCATTTTAGTCGCCTCTTACAACACGCATAGCTTATGGAGGAAGAATTCTGTTCCACTTCCCCGTGGAGATAAGAGGGAATAAAGAAGAACAAGAACTAGTAAGAAAATAGAAAACCCAAAAGAGTGGGTATACATGTATATATGCTTGTACATGTACGTGTAGTGTGACCTAAGTGTAAGTAGAAGTAGCAAGACGGTACTTACCTTAAACCTTGAATGTTTATGAGACAGAAAAATGGGTACCAGCAATCCTATCATCATGTAAAACAATTACAGGCTTTTGTTTTACACTCCCTTGGCAGGACAGTAGTACCTCCCTGGGTGGTTGCTGTCTACCAACCTACTACTTAGGAAATTCTCTAATATCCTCTTCATTTCAATAACATCGTTTCTTGGCCAGTGGTCGTGACATCCTGTACAGTCTGTAAAGGGCAGAATGCAAATAGAATTTGTAATAGTGATATACATATATTAATCGTAAATATGAAAATAGGAGGGAAAACTGCTGTTGTGGTTAGTATTATGAACTGTATGATGAACGGTTAAACTGAAATCAGGTCATGTAAAGTAGCACCTGATTAATGTTATCCACACAATTTCACGAAAAGTAGTGGAATAAGCTTTCGAATCAATGGACTATTTCCCCACTTTTCTTGGAACGGATACGTGATAAATGTCGCTTTTTTTTTTTTTCGAGATGAAACGAGAGGTTTGCGTGCTTGTAAGAAGTCGTTGGCATGCCAGGTTTGGCATGCGTGCCAAGGGTTGCCTACCCCTGCACTAGTTAATCTTCTGGTAATGATAAAAGGCTCTTGGTAAATGCTGTTTTATTCAAGACTTGGTAAATATAAGGAATAGTCGATCAAAGGCAGGGTTATACATGGGGTTTGTTTATAAAATTCTACATGCCTTTACTGTGTGTAGATTCATCTTAACTGTAATAAGCTAGGTAGATTTGGTAGGACTATTTCTAGGCATCATTAGGTATCCCCGAAGGGCTATACCTCAAAGAGGTTGCCTGAATAATTTTTTTTTTCTTTTCTTTTCTTTCTCCTGCTTCTTTATTATATTTTACTCATAACTCAATGCCTCATCCAGTTTGTTTTAAATTTTCAACATTTGTGTATGGTAAGTAAGTAAGTAAGTTTATTCAGGTATACACAAATACAGTTACATAGAATTATCATACATAGCAGCATATGTGTAGAGAACCTAGGATAACCCAAAAAAGTCAGACAGAGTGACTTATTTTCATTGGGGACCAAATTCTAGGAACGACTGGTATATTCATATACCCTATGACTAGAGGTATTTAATCCATTACCAGTATCCTGGAATGGCTCAGTTAACTTTCAAAATCCTCAGTGAAGAACCTTAAAACTTTCACAACAGATGCCACAAAATACAACGATGGCCGAAAAGTGACATTCAGATGTGTAGGTGTAGATTTGACAATTTTATTTGTAAAATAGTGCGATATTTTTTCCCAATAAATCAAGTTATGTAAATTTCAGTTTACCTCTTCTGAAAGGCTTCAATATTTAATGGCAGATGCTTGTGTGTTTAGTATTTTTATAAGCTTAAATAAGGCTGTTGTCTTACTTAATGTTTACTAAAAGCCATTAAATTTAGTCTGCCCATAATGCCATGGCATGATAGTGGTTCTCTTTGCACTGCAACTCAATATTTTAATTACACAATCTCAATGTAAACTTGCAAGGAAATAAAAATTTGTAATTTGCTTTGTGATTAATTAAAGATACTGTGTTTTGCTGTTGCTGATCACTATGCACAGATACCTTATGTCAATGTGGAAGGGAAGAACAAGGTACAAAGTATCAACTCTATGAAATTATTCCTACTGTTTTTTATGCCAGCTATGGGTAGTGCATTTATTTAACTAGATGAAGGCCTAGGAAGTATACAGAACTTTATTCTTACCTTCTCTTTGCATTTTTCAAGATGTATTTGGTTTCTTATCAAGCAATATGTGATTGTTTTTAGTAATTTAGGTGAGAATTTGTTGGCTGCTGTTCAACTGTGCATTGTTTTCAAATTCATAATTTTTTGTTGTTCAAGGTAGTACTGTTAGCATTTGCAAAGACAAAACAAAAGATTGTTGGGTCATTGGAACACCATTATTTGTTGGCACAGTAAATGCAGTAGTGTCATTGTTACATGTTAGTATTTGACACTGACCTGAGATAGATACAGTATATTGACTTTTGTATTTATAATGCTTCAGTTAAAGTAAGTGGTTCTGGTCTAGTGTCAGAAGTCATGTACATGTCAAAAAATAGTTGTGACTGATTATTTAATCTTAAGTGCTTTGTATAAGTTGTCTAAAAAATTTTGTGTGATTATTTCTCTTATCAAGGGTCTAAATCCATACTGACAAGGGTATTATTATTTTTTCAAATGTTTGTTAAAAATAGGCAGGTTTGCTATTGATCTACAAATATGACAAGTGTAATAAACTCGACATTTTTACTCACCAGCACATAGTTACGAGTCTAGAAACTGGAACTGTGCCAAGCAAAAATGTGAGTGAATTGTTACTACCAGCTTGGCGGGACTTTCTTGTGGTGCTAGTAGCCCGCGCTAAATCTTGGCTCACCAACGATCAGAAGGTGTGTATATTTATCATAATTTATTGGTAAGGGGTGAAGGGAAGTTTGTTAGTTTTAACCTTTACACTGTCTAGACTCCTGAAATTAAGTGCTCACTTTGTCCAAATATAAAAAAATTCTGAAATGGTAGATAATTCTTGTCTGAAGGTAATGACATCAAAAATACAAAATTATATGGAAAACACATGGAATAACACAAACACAAATTTAGTTGTCTGGGCATAATTTACATATCGGCTATTTTTCCCAATTTGAGTTTTATTTTAAGCCAGTTATTGCTCAATTTGACCAAATTCTTAGCTCTTTCACTAGGCTAAAATAAACATTGTAGACATTTCTGGTAATAAAACATCATTTCTTCACATCCCCAGGCCTCTCCTGTATTACTTGCCTTCTGTTTTGAATTCATCATCATCACAAAAATAAAAGATTTACCCTATTTCTTAGATAATAAAATATAACCATGTGTGATTGGTCCTGATTTATGGTATTCCAATAACAGAATCAGGCCTAGTAAAAACCCATAAAACACCAGGGAGCCTTACCCACCCTCAGGAAAATTGGCAAAATTAAATATTTATGCTAATTTGAGGCCTATTTCAAGCTACCTTTCTATCCTGGAACCAACCAAAATCATCACTATTTCACTAGCATATCTTCCATTCTATCAATCAATAAAAACCATAATAGCCATCCTAGATAACACCTCAAAAACACCATTTAAAACCAAATGCAAGGTCAGTTTTCCTTTTCCCATTATGCACTGTGTGGGGCAGATTTTTTTATATTGTTCACACTCACTGCACATAACCATTCTAGGCCAAAATTTACTGCTCACAGCTTATCTGAGGGAGCTCAGCTCAAAATGTAGATCAATGTGAGGGACCCTGGCATCAATAATATAGAGCTATGTGATGGACAGTGAATGGGTTACAGCTCCAGTTTGTGAATTTTATCTGTATAACGATTTGTTTAACAGAATGCAATGTGTTATGTAGCAGATCAGACCAATGTTGTTGCCAGCGGGTGTGAAGGTGGGTAGCAATGACAGCAAAATAGTCTGAATGAAACACCTCTATATGAAACAGGGAGGTCATGTACTGCTGACCGCACAGCAGTGTCTACCTGTTCATTGCCCTGTATGTCAACATGACTGGGGATATGACAAAAAAACATTTTTTTTTTTTTTTTTTTTTTTTTTTTTTTTTTTTTTTTTTTTTTTTTTTTTTTTTGAAAAAAATGGGAAAGATGTGTTACACACTGCAGCAAGTGATCATTGCAGATATAACTGGGTTTTCTTCTGTACTGTAAAAATTAGCTTAAATAAATGTTATTGTCTATGGGACAATAATACATCTCTTCAACTTTATTGTGGAAGATGAATAATGCATTTCTAACAGTTTATAGTTGTATGTTCATATTCATTATTATTTGATATGCTTTTACATAAATAGCAATCTGTACCAGGTATCCAGATTAATGAATGGATAGAGCTGGATCAAAATTTGTCTGATCCTTTTTGGAACCTTGGCCATAAAAATCCAGATTAATGAGGACTTATCATATCCTAAAATTATTTGCTATTTGAAGAGCACTCAAGGTAATCTACAATACAGAAATTTGCTTCTGTGTAGTTTATGCATTGGTAATTTCCCATTATCTGTTTGGTGTTTACATTCTCAAAGGCCTTTGCATTTAGTAATCTATCCATAAGTTGCTTTCTTGTTATACATTTTGAAATAATTATCCTAGGTTATCATTTTAAAAAAATTCTTTTCAAGGTAAACTTGGCTAGTGATATTCTTCATGTGTTGCTTCATCAACTTGAACTAGAGTCAGTAGATGAACCACTGACAATCCTATTGGCCGAGCTTCATTTATCTCTGGTCAAACATTGTGGAAAGTAAGTAAACAGCATATTTTGATTATGTCCTCAGTACAGTGTAAACAAAGTATAGTAACCCTCATTACCATTCATATTTTAACTGAAATCATCTGTTATCCATTTTCCCAAATTTTGAGCAATTTCAGTTTTAATCTGGTAACTAGAAGGAGGCACAGATGGTGATATACACAAATAATCCACACTTAATAGAGGATAGAGTAAACATGACATTATAGCCATACTTCGACTGTTAACGAGTCATTCTTGTCAGTGGTTCAAGTCAAACCAAAATGTCATTACTTTCCCACTCTTAAGTGCTGGTTATTTATGTATTGTTCCAGCCAAGGTACTGTGATTCTTTTTTATTCTTAATGGTAGTATGGCATGTAAGATAGGGTAGGTACAGTAACCAAGCAAAAGATGATGAGTTAGACACATGTACAACATCTGGGTATCTTTACTTGTAGATGTTTCACCATCCACTGGCTTCATCAATGTGTCTGAGTGATCATCTTGTCAGTATTGATTACTACTGATATGCAACCTAGCATAAGATCACTACACAGCCTTTTGTTATTCTCTTAATGTGCTAGTTTACTTACCTCTTTCCTACCATCAAACGCCACACAACCTTCAGAACAACAGCTTGTTGCCTTTGGCTTCCTCTCTTATTTTCTTTAGATTTCATTATAAGCATATACTCTACTATAGGAAGAGCCTCTTTTTTTTTCAAGTTTTGGACGTTGTTGTCTTATGCACTGAAATGATATGTCAACTGCACTGTTTTGCACATACAACTGTACAAAGAACTATGTCAAATGAATTAAGTGTTAAATTTTACCTAATAAACTAATAATGCCATTATACAAGTATAATTTTATTTAATGCATTACAATTATCTGTACTTTGTATTGCAGGCAATTAGCAGAGAAAGCAGATATTTTTATTACAATAGGAAAGCTGCTGGTCTTGGTGCAGGGGGCTGTGATGTCAACACCAGCTCACTGTCAAATGTTGATTCTAGCTGCTGCATTAAGAATGGCTACACTCACCCAAGTGTCCCACCAGTCACAAGGTAATTGTTTTGTCTCCAAGGGAATTATTTTTGTTGCATAAGATCAATTTTTTAGACCACCTTTCGATTGATGAGGTGATGCTGAATTGTAAATGAAATCATCTTAAATTAATGGGTGTAGGATTTTACCACTTATTCTCAACTGCCTCTTCCATTCTGGAATACTGGTGGTATGGTTCCAGTTGAGTTCTTGCAACTCAGCGTGGGGTCTTCAGCTCAAAATGGGACTTTTAATCCTGGGGTGGATGGATACGTATAGGCAAGTCTCCTTATTCTTACTGCTGCTGTTCACCTGGCAGAAAATAATACCAGGGCATTAGCTGACTATTGTGGGTAAATTCTTGGAAGTGGCAGTACACCTTAGAGTGAGCTGTGCTTTGAAACAAACTGAAGTAGAATAATAGCACTTTGCCTACAAGTTCAATGGTGTAAGGAAGAAACTGCAAAATTTCTGCATGTGGAACAGCAGTGGGTTCATGTTATCTTCCATTTCTCTAGCTGTTTTGTTCAGGATGCCTATTTGACTACAGGGTTCAACCAGGCTCCCAGCTGATATCAGTCATAACTAGCAAACTATTTTATCAAAAAGTAGTGAAGGGGACCTTGTACTGGGTATAATATGCAAGATAGACCCTGCTAGGGGCCTGAAAAGTATGTTTTGGTACAAATAACTTGTACAAATAACCGGTTATTTTCATATAGTCGGACTTGAGTCCTGGAAATGGGAAGTACAATGCCTGCACTTTAAAGGAGGGGTTTGGGATATTGGCAGTTTGGAGGGACATGTTGTGTATCATTATACGTATATGCTTCTAAACTGTTGTATTCTGAGCACCTCTGCAAAAGCAGTGATAATGTGCGAGTGTGGTGAAAGTGTTGAATGATGATGAAAGTATTTTCTTTTTGGGGATTTTCTTTCTTTTTTGGGTCACCCTGCCTCGGTGGGAGACGGCCGACTTGTTGAAAAAAAAAAAAAAAAAAAAACTTGTTTAATTCGCCATTGGGAAGTGGAGCAGAATTCTTCCTCCATAAGCCATGCGTGTCGTAAGGGGCAACTAAAATGCTGGGAGCAAGGGGCTAGTAACCCCGGTCACCCTGCCTTGGTGGGATATGGCTGGTTTGTTGAAAAAAATATTGTTTAAGATTTATGTGTGAGGTCCTCCCTGTGGGTTCTTATACAAAAGTACATCTCTCCAATCAAAATATTGGTATAGGGGTGGGGATGTAAAGATATGGAGGGTATTAAAATTGTGATGACAGTACACTTCTAAAAGACAGCCAGAGTAAGTGGTGTAGTATGAACACAGGTTGCAATTCAAGGCCTATAGCACCTGGTTGTAAACAGAGTCAGAGATATAGTGATCAACCTGGCAAGACAGGGGCAAGGCAAACAGCAGGGGTATATTTCTTTACCCATGTATTCCTTCATCATTGATTTACAATATTTACAAAGTTGATATCTTAAGTTAGCAGTATAATAATGAGACAACCAAGAACCACTCAAGGCAGCGAGTGGTTTTGATTAGAGTTGGAGAAAGTCTGCCCTCTCAGCCAGGCAGACATGTATAATGTCACCTTAGCTGGGGAATTGTGCTTTCACCTGATTGGTGGGTTAAACTGGACAATAAATGCAGCAGTAGGGCCCCAGAACTGTTATACTCTGAATTGCCAGTGTACTGGTTGAGAGGGCATGTCCATAGTTGCATGATAAACGTCGAATACAGTGTAACATACTCGATGCACACCACATGGTGAATGTGTGTCCACCTTTGGATCACCTTAACTTGGAAGGAAACAGTTAATTTTGCTTTTATATACAGAGTAGGGGAGTTAGTAGATGGGGAGAGGGAGGTATTAGGTAGATGGCGAGAATATTTTGAGGAACTTTTAAATGTTGAGGAAGAAAGGGAGGCGGTAATTTCATGCACTGGCCAGGGAGGTATACCATCTTTTAGGAGTGAAGAAGAGCAGAATGTAAGTGTGGTGGAGGTACGTGAGGCATTACATAGAATGAAAGGGGGTAAAGCAGCTGGAACTGATGGGATCATGACAGAAATGTTAAAAGCAGGGGGGGATATAGTGTTGGAGTGGTTGGTACTTTTGTTTAATAAATGTATGAAAGAGGGGAAGGTACCTAGGGATTGGCAGAGAGCATGTATAGTCCCTTTATATAAAGGGAAAGGGGACAAAAGAGATTGTAAAAATTATAGAGGAATAAGTTTACTGAGTATACCAGGAAAAGTATACGGTAGGGTTATAATTGAAAGAATTAGAGGTAAGACAGAATGTAGGATTGCAGATGAGCAGGGAGGCTTCAGAGTGGGTAGGGGATGTGTAGATCAAGTGTTTACATTGAAGCATATATGTGAACAGTATTTAGATAAAGGTAGGGAAGTTTTTATTGCATTTATGGATTTAGAAAAGGCATATGATAGAGTGGATAGAGGAGCAATGTGGCAGATGTTGCAAGTATATGGAATAGGTGGTAAATTACTAAATGCTGTAAAGAGCTTTTATGAGGATAGTGAGGCTCAGGTTAGGGTGTGTAGAAGAGAGGGAGAATACTTCCCGGTAAAAGTAGGTCTTAGACAGGGATGTGTAATGTCACCATGGTTGTTTAATATATTTATAGATGGGGTTGTAAAAGAAGTAAATGCTAGGGTGTTCGGTAGAGGGGTGGGATTAAATTATGGGGAATCAAATTCAAAATGGGAATTGACACAGTTACTTTTTGCTGATGATACTGTGCTTATGGGAGATTCTAAAGAAAAAATTGCAAAGGTTAGTAGATGAGTTTGAGAATGTGTGTAAAGGTAGAAAGTTGAAAGTGAACATAGAAAAGAGTAAGGTGATGAGGGTATCAAATGATTTAGATAAAGAAAAATTGGATATCAAATTGGGGAGGAGGAGTATGGAAGAAGTGAATGTTTTCAGATACTTGGGAGTTGAAGTGTCAGCGGATGGATTTATGAAGGATGAGGTTAATCATAGAATTGATGAGGGAAAAAAGGTGAGTGGTGCGTTGAGGTATATGTGGAGTCAAAAAAACGTTATCTATGGAGGCAAAGAAGGGAATGTATGAAGGTATAGTAGTAGTACCAACACTCTTATATGGATGTGAAGCTTGGGTGGTAAATGCAGCAGCGAGGAGACGGTTGGAGGCAGTGGAGATGTCCTGTCTAAGGGCAATGTGTGGTGTAAATATTATGCAGAAAATTCGGAGTGTGGAAATTAGGAGGTGTGGAGTTAATAAAAGCATTAGTCAGAGGGCAGAAGAGGGGTTGTTGAGGTGGTTTGGTCATTTAGAGAGAATGGATCAAAGTAGAATGACATGGAAAGCATATAAATCTATAGAGGAAGGAAGGAGGGGTAGGGGTCGTCCTCGAAAGGGTTGGAAAGGGGGGGTAAAGGAGGTTTTGTGGGCGAGGGGCTTGGACTTCCAGCAAGCGTGCATGAGCGTGTTAGATAGGAGTGAATGGAGACGAATGATACTTGGAACCTGACGATCTGTTGGAGTGTGAGCAGGGTAATATTTAGTAAAGGGATTCAGGGAAACCGGTTATTTTCATATAGTCGGACTTGAGTCCTGGAAATGGGAAGTACAATGCCTGCACTTTAAAGGAGTGGTTTGGGATATTGGCAGTTTGGAGGGGTATGTTGTGTATCTTTATACGTATATGCTTCTAAACTGTTGTATTCTGAGCACCTCTGCAAAAGCAGTGATAATGTGTGAGTATGGTGAAAGTGTTGAATGATGATGAAAGTATTTTCTTTTTGGGGATTTTCTTTCTTTTTTGGGTCACCCTGCCTCGGTGGGAGACGGCCGACTTGTTGAAAAAAAAAAAAAAAAATACAGTAGTGCCCCACTTATATGGCAGGTTAGGTTCCAGGCTACCACCGGAAAGTGGAACGCTGTTTCTTTCCTCTTATAAATGCATATAAATGCCAGATAACAAGTTTACACTAACACATACAGTAGGGCCCCCACTTATATGGCGGGTTAGGTTCCAGGCTGTCGCCGGAAAGCAGACATTGCCGGAAGGCAGAACGCCATTTTTTTCCATTTATAAATGCATATAAATGCCAGACATCAAGTTTACACTAAATTATATTAAGTTAGTAATAGAACTAGGCATTAAAAACACAGTAAATTTATTGCTTATCTTAAAGTATTTGTAATCTTAATGTAGGGAGAGAGGTGAGTAGTACTTATTTGTAGGAAGTCAGGTGCAGGTAGCGCAGGTATAGGTAGCCCTGGCTCCCTGTCTCATACTTAATATACAATATTTAAAACATCCCAGAGAGGTAAAATACACATACAGTACACTTATTATTTACCTTAAAATATGTGTAGTCTTAATATAGGAAGAGAGGTGAGTAGTATTTATTTGTAGGAAGTCAGTGTAGGTAACTGGTAGGTGTAGCCCACCTGGGCTACACCTACCGGCTACCTACACTGTGGCCCAGAGCCATATTATTAACATAGACATGCCTTGTTCACTGAATTTAATCATTTCTAACAACTACCTTTAGATGCCATCATAAACGAAGGTAGAAGTAATGAATAATTCATGCCGAAAATTGTAAATAAAAGCGGAGTGAGGGAGTGGCTGGGCCAAACGCAGATTCATACACGTTTTCTCTGATGACTGAACAGAGAAAACGTAATGTTGTCCCTCCACCCGTCTACCACACAGCTCCACAAGTATTATTATCAGAGCACACATAAAATATGCAATAAATGCCAGACAACAAGTTTACACTAACTTATATTGAGTTAGCAATAGAAATGGGCATTAAAAACACAATAAAAGGTAAGATACACACAGAGTACACTTATTACTTACCTTAAAATTTTTAATATTAAGGGTGTGAGAGGTGAGTGGCAGAGTGTTTATTGAATAAATTCAGAATGGTACACCATCATCCTCTACTTGGCACTTAAAGCAAGAGGCTACGACTTCTCTTTTTATTACAGCTAACCTTAGACGCCATCATCA